TATGAATTCTTAACCTGTCCCACATGGCCTAGTTTCTCATTGTTTTCAGGTATTCCTTACGAGATAGCTGTGTATACTGGTAACGTGTTTGGTGCGGGTACCGATGCTAAGGTGTTTATCACGCTGTATGGCGAGAAAGGCATATCACCWGAAAAAGAATTGGATACAAAAAACAGCAACGACTTTGAACGAGACCAGTGAGTGCTGTATAGTCAAGTCTCTTTATAACGAACACATTCAAAACCGCAAGCAATCATGCTTCTGCCAAAACCACTGTTAGAATGGAGTAATTTGCTATTTCTCTGTGGCGATTGTGCAGATGCCCGTAATAATGAGGTGTCCGTAATTTAATGATTGGGAAGGGGGCGGCTAGAAACACTGCCATAATACACTTTCACATAATACATGTATGTACATGTTCAGTTTTGACAATGTGACGTTTTAAAATCACCATGTTTCATTTTTCAGTACGGATATCTATCTGTTAGATTTCCCTTTTGAAGGAACGCTGAAGAAGATCAAAATACGTCATGACAATTCCTGGTTTGGATCTGGCTGGTTCCTGGAAAAGGTACTAAAATGATTCTTCACGGTTCCCTGCGCTGTCTTGAAAGGTGCCTTGGCATCAAAGCGAGATAACCAATGAGTGTGCAACCTCCTTTCACACCTACAGACGATTATTGACAGGTGTCTATCATTGCAAGCTCAATGGTTGTTCCGCTTCGATGCAACGATGTGGTTACTATTCAAAATGGTGGAGGGAATTGCGAAGAAAAACTATTGTTTACAGTTCCAATTTATATTCCAGGAAAATTGTGATTTTTTATGATAAAGTTATGATCTCTGTAGGTGTACTTATTAGTAATAATCATCGTCATCATCATCATTATCATCATCATCATTATTAGCATCATCACTATTGAAAATTATATGGCTATGATTAACATCTAATCATTCTGTCTTGTCTGTCTGTCCAATAGGTTGTCATCAAGGACCCACGAGGATGTATGTACACTTTCCCTTGTCATAAATGGCTGGCCGCGAATTATGGTGACAAAAAAGTTGCTCGTTTTATTGAAACAAGATCAGTTTGCGAGCAAGATATCAAGAAGAAAACGAAAGGTACAAATTGGTGTTTTACTATCTACAATACTATCAATGTATTATCATACTGATTCTTTTACAAGGGTATTGTTTAATGAACAAACGTAAAATTTCTTACTAAATGTCGTTAAGATCGAAAGCAAAATGCAACACAGCGTGCAAAAATCAACGTTTATGTAATGTTTAAAGGCCTCCAATTCGGACTTGACGGGGTTTCAAAGTCCGCGAAATTAGTTCCATTCCGAGGCGCTAGCCGAGGACTGGAACTAATTGCAAGGACTTTGAAATCCCGTCAAGTCCGAATTGGAGGCCTTTGAACGACTTCAAAAACTCATTAATTATTCGGGA